AAATAATGCCCATTGCTGGAAGGACCGAATTTCTAGATGAAAAGTCAGCAAAACTCCTGTTTGACACCTTACAGTAAGCAGTCGTATGCAGTGAGATTCAAAGATTTGATGATGTCTGCCGAAAAAAATCACCAAATGCACCAGCTATTTTTAGTACGCACCAAGGCAATGTGAAGGGATACCGGATATGAAGAAGTAGGTTTTTTCCCCAATCTACTGTGAGGACTAAATCGTGTGAACTCCTGGTTGATGAAAAGGGTAAAACATTGTGCAATGAGGAGTTCTCAGAAATCTTTCATTCCTGGTGTATCATCAAAAACCAGAAATAGTTATTTAAGCCATGACCAGTTACAAGGAAAGACCAATAATCTAGTGAAAGAAAATATTCAACTGAAACGTAAAGTTAAGAGACTGGAAGATAGACTGGAAGAAGTCATTGAAAAAGACGGTAAACTACTCGACGACAGTTTATCAAATTCTTTATAATATGATTTAGAGGAGAATTCCAGCGAAATAGCGTCCACCTTTGGAAAAGACAGTCCCCAATTTTTATTGTGGGAACAACAGAATAAAGCAGCATGGATGGCACCCAGCACTGATAAAATGGTTTATAGCACTCCATTCAAAATCACCTTCTGCATATCGTATGATTAGAGGTTCTAGATACTCATACTACCACACGAGACAACTCTCAAGGACTACACCCATCTCACACAGGTCAAAAGTGGATTTAATGCTGAAATCATCAAGAGAATAAAAAAGGACCATAATTTTGCTGGGATGGAGGATTATGAAAAAAATGTTTGGATAATATTTTATGAAATTAAAATAAAGTCTGATTTAGTATATTCAAAGAACACAGGCAATTTAATTGGTTATACAGACTGTCGCAATGAAATTGAAGATCTCATGCAGCAAATAAAGGAGGACAGTCTAGTTAAAAAGACACTTTCAACACCACTAGCAACTCACATTATGGTATTGATGATGCGAGGTATTTGCACATCTTTAAAAGAAGTGTTTGGATGGTTTCCATGCGTTGGGTTCACAAGCAACAAATTATATGCTGTGTTGCGGAAAGGTGTTGCTTTCCTGGATTTAAAGTGCGTGCTTTTGTGTCAGATGGTGCCAACCCTAAACAGAAAGTTTTATAGAATCCATAAAACCAATAACGAAGAAACCACTGTAGTCCACTCTACCGTGA